AGGCATGGTGTCTATATTGGAAAGGATTATGATGATGAGCTTGAGAGGGAAAGTGAAAATACAGAGATACAGTTGCCAAATGGTACGCACAGTGAGAAGACTGTTACCTTGAGGAGCTTGATTACTGAGTCAAGAGACTGGATAACTAATAAGCTTTGTAGATGTTGTGCTTGAAAAAGATGGTATCAATTGACACCGCTGTTGTTGATTTTGGGCTAAGGTGAGGGGGAAGGTCGGTTGTGTTCCAGCCTGAAGCCAGGGATAGTGGGTGAGACAGCGGTGGTGATATCAATTCAGACTGAGCAGAATTTGATGACTTGTCCAAATGAGAGTGGCTGAATAATGAGGGGTCCTGTGCTTTGGTCAGGGAAATGGGTGTTTTGTGTTGAAGATGAGGAAGGGGCCAATTATGAATACAGATGAGTGTTTCTACAATAGGACCAGACCAGCACAATATAAGTTCAGATTGAGTGCATTTGATAGATCAACTGGAGGAGTTTGGCTGACTCACTAACAGATCAGACCAAACTGTTTGTTTTTTTAGGATGCACATGTTGTGTGACACAAATTGCTGTTTCATTGTGCCTCAGTAGATCATGGTCCACTCCCATGGTTTATTTTAAAGTTCTGTATTTTTTGATACACTAGAGAACAGGCGGGCATGCCATCACCAGGGACCTGGTTAAAATATCATTTAGCTCCTTGCAGTTACTTGACTTAAAATTTCATGAGGTGTAGATCATGAGTATGACTGTTGTCTGAGAGGCCAATTTCAAACTTTATCAACATCACAAAATTTTAAGTCTTGTTGAGAGCCAAGATCAACTGCCATCCCAGAATAAATCATGATGTTATTTTTGCAGTCATTGCAATGATTTACTGGTGTGTGTTTTGCATGATACACCTCTTGGTATAAGAATTGGTCAGTGTACTCAGTTCTGTGATATCATTTTTCCTACAACCACTGTTGCTTTGGTTATCTTTGCACATTGACATTTGCTATGGGTAACAAGAATATTAAATGTTGTAGTTGTTTCACCCATCAACAAATACTGATTGTTCCATTGAAATCCACATGGTAATTTCAAGATAAATACTATTCATCTATCTAATCAAGAGAAAAAGGTTGACATTACAAAAAATTGCCAGGAAGAAATTCTATAGTCAATTGTTTACTTTTGACAAATTATTAGAGGAGACATCACCAACAGTATTCATACACCTAAGATTTGATGGATGTTTTGGTGTAAATTATTGGTTATTGTCCACTCTGCAATGTCCTGCCTTTGAGTTGAGTTGACTTCTTGTGAAATTGTATACCCTTTGGTCAGGGTATGTGACAAAGCCAACTGGATGAGTGTTGAAAATAGCCACAACAGAAACTACTCACAATTAAGACACAAAAGTGTTGCAACATTTAGAATTGTGGTGCAGTACAAGGTTGTCAACCAAGAAATCATATTACATACTCTGCTGGTTATACACATCAAAAATTGCTGATGGTTTCTTTGAACTCCATAAGGTAATTTTAAGAAAGATATTGTGGATCTAATTTAAGATAAATGACTCTGATTTACAAAGATTTCAAGTGAAGATAATTTTAAGATACACTCTGTGACTGTGACAAAAACATAACAAACCTTCACCAACAGTATTCATGAAGGCTGAGCCAAAAGAAATTAATGTTCAAGTCTCAATTACTGGCTGTTGTTTGCTGTGTACCTATGTTCCTATGTACAGATTTATGGTTTGTTATATATAACAGCGTCAATTTGGAGAATGTCCAAAGCATTATCAAGAAATATATATAATTACTCACAATTGAGACACCAGAGCATCTTTCAATGCAAAATTTTTAGTTTTGGTGTAGGTTGAGTTGATGAAAAAAGACTATAACATGCTTTGATGCTTTACAACACAACAGGACTTTGTATAGTTGTCCATGTGAGAATACAGGATTGGGTAGCAGGACACCAACCTTGCTCAAACTCTGACTGGAAGGAGATGACTAAAAGTTGAGGAATTAAATCAAAACTGCAATAGGATGACACATGACTTTGTAGATGTCCATTGTACCAGACACTCTTACGATCTGGCCCTGACTTTGGTATTGGAGGACTTGTGGGTAGCCAAGCTCACATGCAAAAAGGCAATATGTAGATGATGGAAAAAAGTATTGAATACAATCTTTTTGAGTTCAAAATTAGCAGAGAGGAAAGGAGAAAATGTTGATTAAATGACATTGGAATGGGTAATTCAGAATTCTGTTGAAGAGTGCAGTGTGGGCAAAATGTGCGGTTGAATAGCTGAGACAACCGAGTATTTTATAGGCTAGATGAAGGGGGTTGTCAAGAGGCAAATCAGGCAAGAAGGGAAAGCAGTGTCACCCTATTGTCAAAACCTCAACTGCAGGAAATTGATGGAGGAATGAGCTGGCAGAAGGTGGTACCTTTTTAGTGGAGACAAAATGATTGCTATTGTTAAGTTTTCCACATTGTAAACATGCAATCAAGTGGGAATAGATCCATTGATTAACAAAACTCTTGCCCTTTGTAAGATACACAAATCAGTATCAAAAGTCATTGAGCTTTTAACAATGGCAAGTGAGAAGTCAGTTGGGCAATTGACTTGCTATGGAGATTGATCAACCAGATAATGTTTTCAAAGTGAAGAGGAAAATTTGTGAAAAGCTCAAAAGCCCTTAAATTTGGAACTATATAAAGAGTACGCACCCAAACGGAAACTTGGAGGACCAAGCAGAGAGAAGCAAACCCCGGAGTACCAAATGGTGGCGAGTCAGGATTGCTTCTTTTTAGTTTTAAGATAGTGGGTGACTATGAATCACATATATTAATTGTGTTATCATAACATCACTATCCTTGCTCTCACCTTGCCTCATGGTGAGGTGAGAGATATGTGGGAAAGTACACAGAGTGTGCACCTCTTTTGCTCTAGGTAAACCAAACCTTTAGTTCAGCAAAACCAAATTCTTGGTTGTGAAGACCAACGGTAGATCAATTTGATACTGTGGGTGTGAGCGCCCTGCGCCCTGATCAAAAGGATGGTACCTTCTCTAATGGGTGGGTGGGAGGCATCATGCAATCAGATAAGGATAACTTGAGAGGTGATGAGATCAAAGCTTTGGCAGCGGTAAATGTGATGCCTTATTCTCAAAGGGACAGAATTTAGTACTTTGGAAATTCTGTCTTTAACCTCACCTTGGTCTATGACATGTTACTAGACTGTCACTTCTCATTTCACCGTCAGTGGACACTTCCACCAAAGCGTTCCTTAATTGGTGTATCACACCCAACGCTTGGATTGAAGGAATGCTGATGGCATTCCAGGGGAGGTTAAGGGCGCGTTCACTTAAGGAATTTCTGACCAAAAATCACATTCTGGAAAATTTTTAATGCAAAAATGAAACATACACCACCAAATAGACACTTTAAAATTTTGCAGAATGTGATTTCTCACCAGAAATTGCTTAAGTGAACGCGCCCTAAGGGTTCATTGTAGGCAACAATAACTAGGACGGACAAATCTAACCAGTGGTGATATGTATTAGCTCAGACTGAGCTGATTTGATAAGCGGTCTGATGAAATTGGCCAAATGACTGACATATCAAGACAAATCATTTTGGTTTGTTGGGCATTGGAATGTTGTGTGACAACGAGGAGGGGTGTGGCAAGACAATTGTTTTGTTCTGTTTCAGAAGAGGGCATGTTGCTTGAGTCAAAGGAATGCTGAGCATGGCCTAGACCATTTTTGGTTGGTGTACTGAGGATGCAGTGGTGGTTTGTTGAATAAGATCATGTCATGCATGTTACAAGCTCTCTTGATTTGACTCCTTTTTCAGCGAGTCCAGACTTGTTGGAGAGGCAAGGGTTATGTATTTTTCACGCCTATACAGAGTTTGCTGATTTCTCACTCAGGCCTTGAGGCCTGAATTTGCTTGATTCTTTCTCTCTCAGATTCAACTACTGATGCCCACACAAGAGGAAAGAAGCCTTGTGCTCTTCATTGCCCCTATAATGTGATCTAGCACATGCGGGTCTGGTTCAAATGTCACCCGTGATAAGAGATTGTAACATCTCTTCAGAATGAAACTTGTGTTGAGATTTGCATTACGTATATGGTCACAGTTGATTGTGAAACATTTTGAAGTTGATGAAAAGTCATGGAGTGATATTTACATTGATTTTTCTCACAAATGAAATCTATTGTTATCACCAATCAATTGCAAATCAAACAGTGATGAAGAGTTGGTTGGACAATTTATGTACTTGCAGATTGAGTAAAAGTTTGGGATCAAATATGATCCTTTATGCGTGTGTGGTACAAGTACTCTCTGTTTCTTCTTTACGTACTTGCAGATTGAGTAAAAGTTTGCGATCAAGTATGATCCTTCATGCGTGTATGGTACAAGTCCTCTCTGTTCCATCGCCTTATTGCCTCAAAACAAAGATTCAACAGATACACACCTTTGGGAGGGGAAAGCGTCATTTAGTTTTTCTGATATAAAGAGCGCTGATTCCTTGTGCAGGAACATATTCCCAAGGCTTGAAGTCGCTTGATTCCTTCTCTTTTAACTTTCCATTAGTCATTAATACACTTACTTACTACTGCTATAAGATCCTGGTCATTTAGAGCTACATATATATTGGTTCCAGCTACTAGAAACAAATATTGGTGGGTACTTTTGATTCAGCTCTTGCTTTTGATCATTCTACTCCATACCAGCAATCTTTCACTTGTTAGACTAAGACAGTCAGGAAATATTAAATCACTTTAGATCCTTATTATTCCCCCCACTAATCCTCTTTACACCTTGACAAACATTATCTATGTCTTACTTGTCCAAAAGGATGATTGTTTCCTATCAATCCCCCTATATCTTCTTATCTCAATAATTCCCTTCTTCAATTCCTGACCTTTGATATTGGTCAGAGCCTTGGGCGCTGACATTCATATTGATATTTTTAACAGCTTCCCCAAGATGAGATTTCGACAGATGTTTGTTACCATCAATGTGTTGATGGACCACACTACTTCTGGTTATGTTATCCCTCAAATCGATGGTGCTAGTCACATCAGAAACACTGAAATAGCTAGCCCAGATTTCAGATCCACTGGAGTAGTCTTATCACCCAGTAATGAACGTCTCCATCAGCAACAGAAAGAAGTGGACCAGCTTGAAGCACAGGCAATGAAGACCTTTGGATCCCCATCTGTTACCATGAAACATCGAAAAATGCAGAATTTGCCAACAGCACCACCAGGCACAGGTCATTATCCAGTTGAACCAATGAACCCATCAGAATTCATGACCCCTGAACCAACCCCACATGATTCGATCAACCCATTTGCAGTGGCAATTGGGATAGTTGGTGGTTTGGCTGCTGTTTGTGGGGGTATATTATGTTGCCTCCGGTTTGCTCCTGAGGGCAAAGGGTGAGAGACCAGTTCATAAATTTCTTGTCACAGATATCATCACTAACATCTGTTTTGTGACTTAAAAGCCGTCCTGAGGTGAAGACACAGACAACAAAGTGAAAGTGCAAGCTGCATTTGAAACCTGCCATAGATAGTCATCTGAAGACACCCAAGGCAAATCAAAGACTTGATATCCCATCAGTGGAAAGGGATGAATGAAATTTCCAAACCTTTATATCTTCCTTCATATGACCATCTGTCAGCCTGAGTCTATAAAGTTGTAGCTGTTATCAAAGACTCTTGGTTGAAATGATGAAACTTACTTAAAATAAGTCAAGGCTTTTTTTGATAATTTGTATGGAGATAAATTTGAGCCAGAGTTCAATGCTTCCTGAGAATCAATAGTCTTCTACAAACGGGTAAGTTAATGCCCCTGTTCCAGGGCAAGTCTATACTCCACTTGAATTGAGATATAAGGAATAGTATTCAAAATCTGGTAAAAGATGTCCCAGTAATGTTTGAAAAAGATTGTTATGAATGAGTCTTATTACGGTAGACAACCTTTTGTAGAAAAAAGCTAGGCTATAGCGCAGGTTTTAAAACCACGATAATCAAGAAACTAGAATGTATCAAGTATAGGATAAGTTCTAAGTTTAAAGTGTTTGGCTGGGGTTTTAAAAGGCTGCTATATATGAGTGTTTAGATTTCTAAAAGTAAGTTGTATTGGTGTGTTATAGGATGGGGATCTATTATTTGTGGTAAGGATCTCTCAATCTTATAGCTTTACAAATTATGCCACAGTAATGATTTGATTATATCATTTTTAATTATTTAACATATCCTGACAACAGTTGCTTTAGAACTGGAACTGGTCAGGGCTTTGAATGCCCAGTCAGGGTCCTATTTGATCCCTGGCTTTGTATCTTTTCTAGTTTATATTTTCTTCAGTCAGAGTTATAAACAATTTTGACTGGTTTAATCATAGTACATATATGATTTCACTCTTGAAACTCAAGTGTGAGGTGTAAGGGTTGTATATAACATTTCCCAATCTTGTTTGCTCTCTAGACTGAAACCCTCTACAATTGAAAATTCCGGTCACTTACTCCTTCTTTACCAACCTCATCTTGTTTTGTGTGTCAAAATTTTCACCATGATCCACTTTGGTGAATCATAATCATAACATCATCATAAATTATCATCATAAAACTAAAGGCCCAACCGTGTTTCTCGGCAAAACTGGATTTAATCCCTTAACCCCTTAACTCTCAACACTATGCCCCTTTGGGGCTCCCTAGGCTACCACATCCCAATCCAGTTGCAACAAACAATACCATCCTCCTCTTTTGTTTCCCTGCTGATGTCAAGCCTGCCAGTCAGAATACTTTGATTGCGTGCAGGAAACCTACTATTTATGCATCCATAAGTCCTTTCCCTCATCCTCTCAATATTTCCGCCCAATGATACAAGCTTTCTACCACGTTGAAAGATAGCCAACTGGTTTTGACAATACACAGTGACATCTTGGATCTGCTCTCTGCCCCCAACAAGGAATTTGTAATCCAACATCATCATTGAAGGCTATATATCCATAACATACTCTTGCCCACTGAATCAGGATGTTATTGCCTGTCTGGAAAAGCTGGTGTTGGGGCACAGTCTTGAGCTGGTTCAGGATCAATGTACAAATGCCATTTAAACGGACACCAACCAAACCCCTTGCCACCTTAATAACCAATCTCTGCAACCGCATCCTGCACCCAATTTCTATAACTGTTAATCGCCACTTGCCAATCCAGGTTGTTCAATTGATCATTGAAGAGATCATTTCAAGAGACCCACCCATAGGTCCTGACCTTGCCAACTCCACCAATGTTGCGTTCTTGCATCACACCTATGTCACCCGCTCTCTGTGCTTACGCCTCATAGGCAGATCATGGGAGAAGACCATCTTACATTTCATTTTTGGCACCCTTTGCCTTGAAAGTGGACCAATGACCGGGAACCTGATCCCAACGTGGACACATTCGTTTTTGACCCCTGGCTTTCCCCATCTCAAACAGTTATACCTTGATGGGGTATGGCATTCATTTCCGCTTATCCAACAAAGCAGCATCTGAAGCTCACTGTCTGACAACAATCCGTGCCCTTACTCTATCTTACCTGAAGACACTGCGTCCATAATCGCTTTATGCCACTTGACTTTAACACATCTAAAATTAACACTCCACAAAATTTAATCTTTACCAGGTGGTAAAGAAAACTACTGACATAGAAAAATCCTGAGGCCACAGGAAGAGAGCTAAATATCTGAAAAAATATGCACCTTGTTCCTAAATGTTGGGGCATCATGATGAGTATTTTTTTGTATTTTACACACAGATATTGGTTAATTTACTAACAATAAAGGCTGAGAATCATCAAAATTCCACCTGTAACAATACCTGAAATTTGGCCCATGATTTTGAAGACAAGATTTTGAACTCTTCAAACATCAATAACTTTTGCAGTTCTGGAAGAAAACACTTGATGTTAAGTTCATCAAAAAGGTGAGTCTTTTGTCTACATTTACCATTGAGACATCACATCTGTAGCCGGTCTGCAAAAGATCCTACAGATCTATTCATGCAGAACTGTTTGAACATATGTAGAGTGTTTACATGACTAGATAAAACCTTGCTACCTTTTTGAAGTGTAAAGTAGAATGGTTCAGCTTTTGAATGAACCAACAATCAATTTGTTTGGAGCAGAATTGCAAAAGTTATTGGAGTTTTTAGACCACAAAATATTGTCTTCATAATCATGACCCAAATTTCAGGTATTGTTACAGGCAACACCCTTGGCGCTCCGCTTGCGCTAGCAATTTTTTTAGATCACGGCTTTTGACCATTGCTATGGCTATGGTCAAACCCAAAAAATTATAGCGCTTTTTATATGCGCTCTGTATAGCAAAACTTTGCAGTGCTATAAGGCACCATAGTGCAACAGAGGGCCAGGAAACTCATAGCTCCCCGAGCGAGATTGAGCGCCATCCATTCACCCTTGTACTTATGTCAACCTCACATAATGAGGTTGGAACAAGAGTATGGGAGGATGTGTGGTAGTGTGATAAATGACAATCACCCTGGAAAACCTCCTCGCAGCTGCTTGTTCACCCTGCCAATCAACCACAACAGGGCCAAAGAAGGATGTGTGCCTGTCTCATTGGACATCCATTCTTGTATTTATAATTGAGTTCATAAAGAGTTGTCAGAGGTGGCCTTCCGTCCTCTTCTCATTATATTCTTGGCAACAATCTAGTGATCCAATATCAAAACCTTTGACCTCATTTGGCCTTTCTCATCACCCAAGATCTATCTTCAGGTCTCATTTGAGAGACAACCATATTACAATCAAAATCATCAGTCAGTTGGGTCTTTACTTTCTGAGAATCAAGAGGACTACAATCAGATGGAGATTATGAACATCATTGATGGTTGGATTTCCAATACTACTTATCATCACCAATCTGATCTCAAGACCTTCAATGAATCACAAACAATAGCTACTCAAGAGACTCTTCTCAATGACTTAATTACCCCTCTACTAGGACACAGCCCAATGTTCTATGTCTGATGTGAATGACTGGTCAGTGATGTCATTGCTACAAGTGGAGAGTGACGCGACAATGCAAAGAAAAGAAGTCTTCTGATTAGGTTTTCAATTGGACATATTCCTAGAACCGATCTCACAAGGCTTTATCCAAACTTTTATCAAGTGGGTTTGTAGATATCAATTCAGAGACGGTCACTTTGATAACTTTGAATGAAGTCAACAATTCACATCATGAGACAAAAGTTGATTTTGATTTTGGACAATTGGTCGAATGTTAGAAGACCTTCATGCCACGCCTGATTGAACTGATATTGGCTTCTACGCAGGCCTAATCACTAGTCAGTTGCTTCTTTATTGCACGATAAATTGCAATTGATTTGCTGATAACAAATCATTTGAATAATCTATATATTTAGGTTTATTTGCCCTTTGTCAACTTTGTACCAGTAAGTCAAAGAGCCTGATGACACAGATTACTTTCATCCAGATCCATTTGACCAATTTACTATCATCTGATGAGTGTTACTTCAATTTCTATAGACATTTGGTGGGGAAGACTTTCTGATTGGATTGGAAGAAAACCAATCCTATTGACTGGACTGACAGGTTTGTCAATTAGAATCATCAGCTTTGGATTGTGAACTACCTTTATTGGATTATAATGGATCAATGTAACAATAGTTTTGAGATTACAAATTAAATCTCACTATTTCTCCCCTTACATTATACAAAAGTGTTATTCTCTTATACTTACAATTTTAATGATTCTTGGTTTCCTTTTTGTCTCACAAGTTCAATGTTTCATCAATTCTTTTTGATTTTGCTCCTACCATCTTATGAATCAATAAGTGAAGTGTGTTCTTGATTATTTGCCCTGTTGTGGCTGCTGCGCTACTTCCACAACACAATAGTGTTGCTGGCACAACCAAGGACACTGTTGCGCCTGCGGCGCTGCTGTTGTGTGCCTAAAAAGAGTTGCGCTCCCGGGTAGTCAGGTTTTATGTTGCGGTTTGAAACGCAGCGCTGCAGGGTTTGTGTTTTTTTGTGGCGTGTTGGGGCGCGACACAACGCCCGTTCGCAACGAAACGCAACGAAAAAAGTCAGAAATTGCGCTGCGCAATGAAAAAAACATTGCAATATGTCATTGCGTTTCGCTGCTTGCGCAATATCCGGTATCCAACTGGCATTTCGTTGCGCCAAGTCTCAACAAAATCTCAGTGAAAAAAAATACTCACAATGCAATATAATTGCAAAAATTGTGTTCAAGAAGTGCGCACAAGCGCTTTTGATTTCATTCCCATGTATACTAACAGAACCCATACACATACAAAGGTGAATTCCAATGTTGAGTGTTTTCTTCTATCAACTATAAGGTTTTATTCCCTTTCTTTTGTCTTCCCATAATCTTTTCCGCGATTTTCATAGCTTCTCCGTAGTCTCCTGGCGGCACAAAGCGCTTCTTGAGCCATTCACATAAGCCAACGGCGCGCTCGATTGTTCGAGAAGCCAAACCACCTCTATCGGCAGTGATTACATCTGCCGCCGCACTGAAAGTGCGCTCACAGGCACATGACGTACCTACGCAACAAAGATAGTCACGTGCCAGTAAAGCAAGCGTAGGGAAGTGTCGCTCGTGACACTGGTATGCACAGAACTCAAGTCAGTCTGCTGAGATATGCAACGCATGATTGTGAAAAACATCACTTACAGCCCACCATTCCAATATATCCTGGTTATCATCACACATATACTTGCGAAAGGTAAGCGTGAAGTTCTGCATCACCCGGTATTTCTGCCGCATTTTGAGACGCAAAGATGTTGCGCTCAAAGAAGATGTTTGAGGGTTCGGATTCCTCAGCTACCTTGGAAGTCGAGGAGTCAGGAGGTGGTTGATCCATGAGTAACTCTTCATAAACCATCTTCAATACGTCATGTGCTGACTCGCTGTGATTGGGAAACATGTGCTCAAAAAACTTCCCTCGAAACTTGGGATTCAACATAGTGGCGATGATGATTGCATAGCAGTGAAGCGCTTCTTCTTGATAGTCTTCAAGTCGGGATATCATAATTTGAATCATATCGGCTAGGCGAAGGTACGTAGTGTTCGATTTGATCTGCTTAAGAGCGCCGATGATGGTAGCGTATTGGAACAACACTGATGCCGCGTTCGGTGCGTCACCTTCCATGCATTTGGTGGAAGAGTAGAATATCTACATATCATATCAGAAAAGAACCAATAAATACCAATCAGTGCCCATTTCAAGAGAAAAATGGAGGTTTACTTACATGGAGCACGCTGATCAGTGACTCAATTGCCTTCCACTCCTCCGGAGTAAAGAGTGTACCATCAAAAAGGTCGGAGTCATCCTCGTTTAACATGCGATTAACAATCTGAAAGACCAAAAAAAGATACGAATTAGTCATTTGAGATGATCTTGATCATTTTTCCAAATACATACCTTCTTAGCCTTCACAAAGCGTTCTAACATGTCAAGGAAGATATTCCAACGCTGACCATGGGCTGCAATCAAGCCTGGCCCTGTGTGGCTTTCTTCTTTGGCAATTGCATGGAAAAGCTGCATCAAAGGTCCGTTTCTGGATATTATTTTGTTCACCTTTGCGCACTGTGAGAGGTGTGTTTTGATTAGTATGTGTCAAAAGGACTTGGAGTTTAAAACGAGACAAGTGAACATTTGACTGGCCTTGTGGATGGCTTTAGAGAAGGAATCACCTTCTCGGATTTCGGTTTCGCTTATTGAGGCTCTTTCATCATCATCATCATCATCATCGGCTTCAGAGTCTGGGTTGTTGTCGCATGGATCAGGGTTGTCTTCTGATGGCGCTTCTTCAAGGTCTTCATCTGATTCATCAAGTGTATCTTCAACATCATTCAAAACAATCGAGGGTGGAGTCGGTGGTTGAATCCTTTTGGGAAGATTGGGTAACAGTAGATTCAGTTTCCGTCCTTTCGGTACAGTCGGCTTGCACGTTCCTGCGCGAACTTTGAGACTGGCAAGCCCTGCCTTGACAGTCAATGCTAGCTTGTGAGCATAGCATTGAATCTGATGGCGGCTTGAATCCCAGTTGGTTGGGTCATCTGCCGATTTAAACATGTCTTCCAGCTCTTTAGCAGTCAAGTTATTAGTACCACCCGAGTCGGTGGTTTGTGCAACCATGTGGTTATCCAAAGATGAAAAAGTAAACAAAAGATTAGAATATGTAGTATGTGTCATAATGATTTAAAAAGACTTATCTTTTTATGAAGGCCGTGACGGATAAGAAAGTTTCCAACTGGGCGAGCCAGGAGGGCTCCGTAATGGTTCCAAACTACTAACTTGAGTGTCAAATGATGGACGTGGTGTTTCCATTTCTCGTTGATGTAAGAAACAGATACACCAATGAAAGCACACCGACCGCGCTTTGTCGTCCATACATCATGGATAAGACAGAATTTCCCCGGCAAACTCTAAGTACAGATCCAATATCAGGTGATTGATGGGAGGAATGTCTGTACGTCTTGGTTGAGAGATTCATAGCTTACCTGTAGTTTAGCAATTACATCATTATGCATGCCTTCGTATAACTTCATGGCCTCCTTAGCTGCCCAACCGGGATTGTACAAGACCGCAGAAGGATTGGCGAACTGAAATCCGGCAATGAGTAGCGGATCGGCCATCCGATTCCAAGGTAAAGCATGTCGGACTAGCCATAATACAAGCATACAGTTGAGTAACCAAACTGTGAACTTAGGTATCTCCAAAAACATATCGAGAAGGGATGTCTTGGGTCCTTTGGCTGCTTTGGCTGCTTTATTCGATGCTTCAAGTGCTTCTTGATAGGTCGGAGGAAGTTTAATACCAGAAGAGATAGCTTTCTCTCGGGAACAGCAGGGTTTACGGCCGTTTCCACAATCCCTGTGACCTTTTAGGTTAAAATGGTTGGTTGATCCATCTCAATACTTTTTACCACACCACAAACAGGGGTACAGCTTCTTTTCTGTATTTTCAGGCTGAGAGATGGGAGATGATTGATGTGGGCATGAGACACAGAGTCAGTGAACAGCAAGTGCATTTGAATTCAGATCAACTTACATGAGCGGTATCCCATTCAGGATCACCGTAGTAAATGAAAAGCGCGTCAGTGCTTTCAGCAGTTTGCTTTGATTGGCCAGGTTTTTTCGGATTTGGGTTTGGAATCATCTCGATGTCAGAGTCATTCTCAACCAAACCAACAAGCGCCTTTGGAACTTTGGTACGCTGAAAAAGAACATTGGTTAGCTTGAATAACGGAACTGTAAGCAAAAGAGTACACACTTTTTTTTCCCTTTTGCCCGACTCTTTCCCCTTTTACCTTTTTTCTTTTTTCTTTTTCCTCCGGATCGAGATGCTGTTGACTCGGCTGATGTTGACTCTTTGTCTGATTGAGATGAAGATTCATCACTACTGTCACTCTTTTCGACGAGGTTTCAAGAGGATGAAGACTGGCGAAGAGGAGAGGGTACTGCAAGACGAGAGTCGCGTGGCTGGGCAACGAAGCCTGGATCCGTTTGAGTTCCTTGTGGGCTACGCAGACGGAGGCTGCGGCTGCCAGAAGGCGAAGGAGGGGGGAGCAACAATGTTGAACTTGGAGACTTTGAACCTTCCACAGACTTGGACTTGGAAGCTTCCAAGCGAGCTTTGTTTGCAGCCTTGAGGTTGGCTGCAGTGGCCGCACCCGGTGTATAACGAGGCATTACGAGGAAGGTAGGTAATGTTTGTTTTTTAACTTCTAGAGTCAAAGACTTGACTCATATACTCACAAAAAAATAAAATTTTCACCCCCTTGCCAACACACGGGCTTCCTTCCTCTTTGAGCCTGCGTAGCAATGTCTGAGGGGGTGTATCTCAAGGTGTATTCAGTAGGCTTGTTCTGGATGGTCTTTCCAAAACAAGCCTACTACGCCCGCAACATTTCATACCTTACCCTTAGGGTAAATTTGCGCAATGAAACCGCAATCAGCCTATAAAATACACATTTCATTGCGATAGAACGCAATTACCTCAGTGCAAGAATGCATTGCGTTGCAGTTGACCGCAACGTAAATGTGGCCATTTCTTTCGCACAGCGAAACGCACTAAAATCCGCGAAAAAATTTGCTGCTGGATGGGTGTTGCGCGACACAAAAAAAAACCCGTGGTGCGCGCCTGTGCGTTGCTGGCGCAGGGTTGCTTGCTCAGACCACCAATAGCAGAGGTAATAACCACCCTATGGCTGCCAAAGTTCAATTGGTGTTTGCTTGTGCAGAAGAACCAGCGACTTGGGATGGACCATCACATCATGTGTGATGCTATGCCCACAAGCTGAACCTGGTAGTTGGGCATGGCCTCAAGGCACTTGGTCGGAAGGTAAATTATTCAAAGCCAGCTCTGGAAGTTAATGACGGGGAGGACAAGCCTGATATTGACAATCCTGATCCCAAAGAAGATGATGATGACTTACCCACTGTGCCTGACAGTGTTGACAAAGATGGTCATGAGAACAAACCTGTGGTAGCTTCTGATGAAGAGGATAATGTGTCAGTTGCCCTGAAGAAGCTATGTACTTGTTTTACCTTTATTTTCTCTTGTGTACATGTACTGATTGTCTTGTTTTACTATAGGTTGACACTGTAATTGGCCAGAGCTCTAGCAGTGCAGCCTGTTGTAGTGATTTCAAGACTTGCTCAACTCATATGGAGTACAAGGGGTGTATGCTCAAACAACCATGCAAAACCAGGTGGAATAGTCACTATGAGAGCCAGAAGCTCACTTGTGAAGCACAAGAGGTATGTATTCTTGTCAATCATTATCTTCCCCTCTTTCAAAATCTCTCAATTTGTCCTTGCACATTGACCATTGTCTTCTCTCCTTTTCACTCTCACTTGTTTTTGTCACAGGTGATCAACTTGATGATTGCTGCAGATCAAAAGGCGTGCTTTTTTAAGGGTGTTACCATTTCACCTGCCAAATGGCATGCAGTTGAAATGGTTGAAAGGGTACTGGAAGTAAGTACTTGTTCATAATTTTGCTGTATCTTGATGACATACCTGATGGCCATTTCAATTTGGTAGACCTTTGTGGATGCAACAGCTCATGTCAAAGGTGATGGTCCTACCGGTTGTATTGTCCTAGTGGAGTATAAGCAAGTGATAACTGAGATTCAAGTCCACCAAGTCAATTCTCTGGAGTTTCCCAGCCTGGACACTGTGATAAATGAAATGATTGATTGGCTTGTGAGGTACCAGGACAAAGTACTCAACTGCCATTGCATCACTCTTGCTGTCAACGGTATGAGGATTATTGCGGAGCAATAATCCCAAATACATTGCCAAAAATCCAAAAACTACATTAAAAAGAAAACTATAAAAAATACATTTTATAAAAATACACCTCTACACTCAGTTTCAAGAGTGCCATTTGAAAAAATACCAAATCAGTCGATATTAATATTTTATCCCTATAACGATAGAAACCAAGACCATAACCAGGGATAACTAGACCCTGAAGAAAGAAACCCTGACCAGGCCAAAGCGTATCAACAAGGTACGATACGATGGCTAGTCAGGGTACAACTAAGATTAATGTATTACTGATAGTTACTAGAACAGAGGAAATTGAAACCTATAAAGATAAACGAACTTACGCGTAACAGAGAAGAATCATCTCTTTTTATCACGATATACAAATATAAATTTTTCCTTTAAACTTTTACCCTATCAGGAAAGTTTAAAACAAAAGCATTTTTTCTCATCTACTTAGTCCTGATCGAAACCAGAATAGTTTACTTATTTAGAACATCTTATTAAATTAGACTTCTTATAAAAACTATTTCTCTATTTTCGACCTAAGACACTTTGGATACGATTACCGTTTTTTCCTTTACGAGTTACGTTATAGATCATTTGGGTAGTTCCAATTGACTAACGTTCTCAAATCCTCAACCTACACCCCCTTTTTCAATAAAAGATACTATCAAACCTCTGCTGAAGCAAGCCTAAGATATACCTGCCTTTCCCAAAAAGTAGTCAATCTTAGAAGATTTGTTCTGTGAGTGCACAGAACATCTAACTGGCAGCAGTAACCATTCTGCACCTTAGACAGACTACAGTAGTACTAACAAACTCTGCTTTATTTTCCAGCTCTGCTCACCAAGAATCTAAAGCTAACTTTAAAGACTTATAGAAGAACCTCATCTATATTTCGTGGATTTAACTTTTGTGAGCATCAAGAATTCAACTTTGTCTTCCAAGTTATCAACTATTTGGAGAAGGCTGACACTTGCCACTATCCTTAATCCCTGCTTTTGAGTCAAATTCTTTACAGTAAATTATCCTGAGCACAAAGCATCAGCAACTGTAGCAATTGACTATGCATATAACAGTCTTGTGGAGGAAACTGACATACATGAGGGAACCCCAACACCTGATTGATCCTAATATCATGCCAAGGCCAATGAATTTGACATGGTCCAATCATATGATGTCAGCCTCAAGACAACTTTTACCTCAGAGTTAGAAAATTATTTACAAGGTCTTTCCCAATTAAAAGAGATCAGTCTCCACTTGATTGGTGGATGATATGTACTTTCTCCTTCTTGGTCTACATTTCAAGTTGCTGACCTTTCACTATGTTTATTGACAGGAACACAAAGCCAAATCACCAATCCTGTCAAGACTGGCACACAATTACTTATTGGTATCTGCCACGTGTTGTGTTTTCAGAAGCTTCTGATGTTTGTTCGCCCTTGCAAGGCTCAATGATTCCCAAGACTATGGAACGTCTGGTGGGATCTCAAGCCTGGTTGAAGGAAGGCATTGTACCTGATGGTCCTTTTTAAGCAGCTGCAAACACCATTGAAGCTTATATGTAAAGTTCCAAGAAGAAACACAAATGATATCTTCCATTTAACACTTCCAGATTTTATTTTTTCTTTCCCTTTATACAAATGGACAATGATAATAATCCCTTTTAATCTCTAGACTTGTTTTTTCCTTTCTCTCTTTATACATGCAGTCACTTGTTTTCTTTTCCCTCTTTACAATGTCTTCATTCAACTTTCTATACACAGGCAATGATAGTAGGTTTTGCCGCTTTGGAGCGCTCTTTGTGAAATATTGTGTGCTATCTGCACATATGAGGCTTTTTTAACCAAGATTGTGATTGTTTGCGTAGGGCCAGCGCAGTCTGTGCTTTGCAACCCAGAGGAGGTCAAATCTCATTGTGTTGTGTAGCGGTTGTGGTATTGCCCACATGGACCCTTTCACAGACCAGCTACACATTTGAAGTATTGATGAAGCCTCTAGATGAGACAGACATATTTTAAATGCACCTATAATTGATGCATTTTGTTGTAGATGGCACAAGTTGTGTTTTTTCTTAGGATGTCAAATGCTCTATTTATCCTCAAGATCCAAAAATTATACTATATTTCACTATATTTCACTATACTTGGTATAGCATAGTCCAACTATACCATACTTGCACTATACTTGATATAGTAGAGTCCAACTATACCGTACTTGAACTATACTTGATATAGTATAGATGAACTATACTCAGATATACTGAACTGTATGTATTGTGCAGTATAGTGGGAAAGTTTTGTGGAAAACATGTGTATGTACATAACACTTTTCCAGGTATACTTGGTACAAGGATCCTATACTGAGTGTAGTTGAGTAGAGTATATGTAGTTCAACACTATAGCCAGTGTAGTATAGTATGGTTTAAACAATACTATACCTAACTATACCTATACCAGTATAGTATAGTTGCACTCTTGCATGTAGTAATATAATGATTATGAAGATTTATTGTTAGTATATTCATCAATTACGGTACTCAAAGTTGTGTATAGTTGTGTATACTTCTTTGCGTATACTTTTTTTTGGCATCTTTTTCCCCACCAAAAAAAACTATACAAGCAGAACTATACACAACCATACACAACTTTGAGTACCGTAAATATAGATGATAAAAATATCAAAAAATACTTGCACTGAAGGTTCCACATCAGCAAACAAAATGATTTTTTTCCATATTTTTTTCCATCTTTGTGGCATCTTATTATTTTTCTATAGTGATACTTCTCTTTTCTGTGCAGAAAATATAAACTTTTTTGTAGTGTTGGAAGATGAAGTACCACACTTCAGACTGTCTGGATTATCAAAGTTTACAATGGCGATTCTGTTTCATGATGACAGACTTGAAAACAGAGTTGCACCACAGGAACAGAAGGGTAAGTGGAGGAGGATATTCACTTGTAAAGTAGTTTTCACAATTATCCAAAGACTTGATTTAATTTTTGAACTATTTGTACAGCAATACTTTCATGTTGTATGGGTGCATTTCCAGGTCTAGTTGAGGGGTTTGGTGTTAGCTCAAAATGATGGGACCAAAAGCTTACCTATGGTATGTTATTGGAGTGATCCAGTCCAGCAAGAAAAATGCCATGAAAGTATCCTTGATGCATTTGCTCAAAATCCTGACTTCACATTTTGATGAACAAATTGTTAGCTTGGTATCACCCAGGGAGAAAATCAAACCCAATCATAGTAGAGATTCAGGGTGAGGCTTCAAGGGAGCATGTGGGTTTCAGACACATGTCATGTTGCTGTGTGATGACAAGAAACAGTTTCAATCCAAGCCATACATATCTCACAGTTTCCAAGCTGGTCATGATGCATGCACCAAAGTCAAAAAGTGTTGATAAGGTGGAATTTCATGAAAGTTGAATTTCCAGTTAAACCCCAACTTCAATAGGCAAATACAACAATCCAAGGAAAAATATTACAAATGATACCTCAACAAATTCTTGGATCTCAACCCAAAATTTCAAACAACTGTCCTTTGCATTGATCCAAATAAACCACAAAAATATAGGTCTTTCACACATATTTTCATGTATTTTATGATTATTGGGTTGGAACAAATATAGCAATGTTATTGGGCTGTTTTCATTTCACTAATTATATCCACAAAATCTGATCATATCTTTGAAAGTGAAAGTAAGAGAGGATAGGTGAATTCAACTGTGTTGACAAAGCAAAATCAAGAAAGTAGCTAAAATAAACATTGTGACCAGATTCTATGATGAGAACTGGTGGCTGAATATTCTCAATAAAGTGGAAGAACAATCCTTGATTTGAGCAAGGCAGTGTGAGTTATCATACTTTTCCTTTTGGGGAACATTTCCATGATCTTGGGATGCCTGATCCAATTCAATTCAAGTTTTTATATACAGCTATGATCTATTCCATTGTATGATGGAAATTCAGAAAGTTTCACAATTGAATTTTTATTTTTATTTTTTCTCAAACTCCAACCAATGTAATGGTTGTCTGGATCAGGCTTGCTATATGGGCCACCCCTTTTTGTTCCATGGCTTATCAAATTGTGTACATATGTGCACTGGAATTGATCTTAATAAAGCACACAATTGTTAATTATGGCCAGCCAAACCATCCATCATCTTTGTCTACTTGTGTGTGGGGCATCACCGGTGCCAGAGCGCTAAGGAAAGGTACTGAGAGGAGGAATTAGAGGAATTACATATGTCAATGAGTTGTCACCCTTTTTAAATGGCGATTGATGAAGGACGCCGAGTTGAAAAGAGAAGTTACGCCGGTTTTTGTTAGCTTGGATTAATCAGGAAGCTATACAGTTCGGAAAAACCTGAGGAGCCTTGAGGACCTGTAAGGTGCTCCAAAGGCTTCAGAAACATTCTGAAGCCAGTTTTGGGGATAGTCGGTGTCATCCCTTTTGGATTATTTTGAAGCTCTGACACCAGCCTCTTGGAAATTTGACACCGTAAAGAAAAGATTGCAAGGTTACTGCTTTTGTTGGCTTTTGTTCACGCCAATGGCACAGTGGCCTCTGATTACCGAACAGCCAGGACAGCAAGTATATGTATCACTCCTCAATCTGATTCTTGTCGCTGATTTTGAACCGTATTTACGGAGGAAAAGGCTTAGAGACCATCTATCAAACACTTCATTCACATTTCTTGCACCCACAAGCTCTAAACCAACTTAAACACCTGACTCTCAGTCCTGAAAGCTGGGTCCGTACAGTTTTGATTCCCGAGGTGTCTTTACGGATGATCACGGACAATCTCAAGGTATTCATTTTGGATCCTCAAGTTAAAGATACGCTCGAGAGATCTCAAGCATATGGGATGGCTATGTATGTTCCCAGCTGACGAGGACAACTTTTGAGATTGCACCATATTGAACGGTTCGATATGAAATCATGAGTGTCCTTATTGAAGGTCTTCCGCTGAAAGCACTTACCGAGGCTGATACGATGTATATAGGTGAAATGCAAAATGATCATGAATATACTAATAATGAATCCAAATTTAAGCAGTCTCTACTTGTCTTTTCTACTTGCCCTTTCTACTTGCCCTTTCTGCTGCTTTTTTTCTGCTTTGCGGGTGAGCTTGAACTTTTGGATGATTGATTCTCGCGCAAAAGTGTCATACTCTCAATGACACTGTGCGTGAACATACGCAAGGAATGCAACCATTGGTGGGCTCTTGTTGCATGCAAACAAGCCAAAAAATCTACAAGGGTATTGCCGCAATACTTGAAGTCAGCGTCTCACATGGGAAGTCGGTGTCAAGCTTTAAGATCCACAAGGAATGACACCAACTTATACACACCCAAAAACCGGCTTCAGAATGTTTCTGAAGCCTTTCGAGCACTTTACAGGTTTCTCAGGTTTTGTCGAGCTTTATGTATAACTTCTTGATTAATCCCAGCTAGTAAAAACCGGCGTCAAACCAGTTTTCATGTCGGCGTGGTTTATCAATCACCTTTTAAATATGGTCAGCGAATCTAGATTGTCTACTTCAGTGGTCGGGACCAAACTTAACAAAGTCCCTCGCCAAAGGCCCGAGCCCCAGCGAGGGACTTACCGCTAATAATGGATTTCTTGCGTGAGAAGTAGCCTGTATTGGCTCAGAAATCTCTACATCAGTTTACTTTCTTTATCCCTCAAGAAACCACATCTGGTGCAAAAGAAAAAGATAATGGTAAGGTCTCATTACATATGCTCCAATTTCAACCTCCTTTGTAACTTGCCGGAAACTTACACTTATGAGTGATTGAAGATCAATCAATTTGACCTTTTTCTAAGAAATACAGCCTCCGAGCGGGCTCGCCAGTCAGGAAAAGTAAAAAAGACTCATTCTTTATCATCCAACAGCAGGTGTTCCAGACAATATACAGCAAAGCTTGCAATTGTAACACATGTAGTGGTTATTTTTTGTCTCACTTTTATTTTGCTTCGAGCCTGGTTTATTTATAAACAAAACGAGGATTTTGAAGTAGTGTTTTTTGAGCCGATACAGGCTACTTCTCACGCAAGAATTTCGTTTTTAGTGGTAAGAGCATCCACAGCCGTGCCGTAAATCTGTGACGTACAGATATTTGAGGTAGTTTTATGCACAGCCATCTACCTCAAACACTGACTTAGCTTAGGCATTTCTCTACGTGCAAGCCAAAATAGGCCAAATATGTTCTATTTCGGCTCGCACCTCAAATCCTTCTGTACCTTGCTTCTCCCATGATCTCAAACTATCTCAAACCACAGTGCCACTTTTCCTACAACTACAGTTTCTTTTTCAATTGGCATAAGCATCAGATTCAATTGTTTGCTTGCACGACCGCGTCTTCTGGTTCAACTGCGTTTTTTTTTGCTCAATCACACCTTTTTCGACCATGTGTTGACTATCAAAATTCCCATCTTGTCATCATCAACTCAAAACTAACGGAAATTGGGACAGAGTGAACAGTCTTGTGTCAAGACTTCAATTTTGTTCTTGTGAATTCAAGAAAGGATTGAGAACAAATGAAATCGGAACGATCATGTTATTCAAAAGGCATGAAACCGAATCGATTTAGCTATTTTCAAGATTATCATATTCTGTTCAATCCCAAAATAATGTGCACTTGAAAGAGCCAAGAAGATTGAGAACAATCACTGTTGAAATGTTCAATAGAACACTTGATCACACTTTTTGAAAGGTTGAAAGGCTTATGTTGAATCAATCATTTCTGATTGATCTCGATCATTCCCAAGCAATGAAAACTGCAGTCTTTCTCACTCATAGCATATGAGAAAATCATGCTAGATTATGCTACTAACGGTACTGTAGGGAATTACGGCTGTGGAAGGGGTTTTTTTTATACCTCAAACAGTGCCCTAACCGATCTGTGCGAGCCTCCGTACGGCACGAATTTATGGCACGGCTGGGGATGCTCTAAGTCCCTCGCTGGGGCTCGGGCCTTCGGCGAGGGACTTTGTTAAGTTTGGGTCGGGACGCTGGATTCGACATCTCTCTGTGACTTCGATGTCACAAGAGTGACAGGTTCGATTCAAAACCTAACAACCAGGCCAGCGGGCTGGAAACCAGCGATATCATCAGCTTAGGTCTATTTATGCTTCGCGAGGCCACCAATTCGTGTATGGACTAACTTAGAGTGAATCGAGACACCTCCCAACCTCGCATCAAGATCCCATCATGGTCCGTCTTCGCAAGATCCTCTATAGATTACACTCCTGTCGACGAAAGAGCCATGCTGACGGTGACGCAATTTGAACTTTACTTCCGTTTTACTTGAATCACTCCAGGCCAAAGCCGCAGCAGCCGCCTCCTCAAGCCACCGAGCACAGAAGAAGAAGAAATGGTCAAAGGGAAAAGTGAAAGACAAAGCAAACAACGCTGTTGTTGTCGACAAACCTACTTTTGACAAGATTTTCAAGGAGGTTCCTACCTACAAAATGATCTCACAATCCGTCTTGATCGACCGAATGAAAATTAACGGCAGTCTTGCTCGAGTGGCCATTCAACATTTGGAACGAGAGGTTGGTTTCAATTACTTGATGTGCACTTGTCACTTGACTGATCAAATCCTGCCTCTATTAGGGTCTCATCAAACGTATCGTTCACCACCGTGGTCAACTCGTCTACAGTAAGGAACATCGTCAAGTAGTCAACCAGAATCACAAGCTGATGAGATTCATTGGGCTTGCCCGCTCCCTTGATTTCTTTTCATAGCACGAGCAACTGCCGGTGCCGAGTAAACGCTTCATCGTACATCACTCGACCCTTGCACCCTTGCCAGTTCGCTCAACCTTCGAAACCAAGCTCGTTTCAATGATGCCCATCCGACCACTCGATCTATCCTCTCATCTTCAGATCTTGTGGCCGCCTGCTCCTCATGACTGCTGTTCACTGTCTTCCACACCTCTCTTCGCTTGTTAGGCCTGGAGTTGCGCCCTTTGTGACCTCATCTCCTGTGTTTGTTATGCTAGTCGACTATTCATACACCTTTATGTCAAGTATATGCAGTATTGTCTGTGATACCTCGTCACCCATGAACATGACCTCAACTTGCTGGGGTTAGCCTACAAGATACCAGAGCGAGTTTTACCGCAGGACCAATGGTGTTTACCGACCCTCATTAGCAGTGACCTCCACTGTCTCAGAATTTGTAGAACGGCATAAGCTCGCCCCCATGTACAGAAAAGAGTGAAGTCGGATCAATACGGTCTGATCATGGCGTGCTTATCACGTGCATCGAGGCCGTGATTGACACCCACGCGGGCCCACCACACATTGTGCTACAATTTGATGTGCAGAACTTCTTACCCAAGTTTGAGCTTACCCAAGCCCCGGATCTGATATGGCCATGTCTGCTCTGGGAGGGGGGCTTGGGGCTTCTGGGCTTATACCCCAACCTTGGCCTGAGACCAGCAGGATTTCCATATGATTTTGCTTATGATGTCTTTTTGAGGGCTCTAATCATTGTGCAACCTCACAAAATGTTGAACAGAGCTTCCCATAAGCCTTGTACACAAGCTTGTGCCACTTTTAGCATCACTTTACTTGAGCCAAGTGACACAGTCAAGGTGTTGGGTTCTTGTAGATCCGGGTCTTACTCAGTGTGTGGGCCTACACGTGCGCTAAACCCGTTAAAATTGCTTGATACTTGAATCATATTTCCTCACAACCTAGGAAAGTGACAGGCTAAAGATAGTACAAGGAGAAGCAGAAGAGCTTGACGAAGTCCTGCTGAATTGATTGCAAGGTTTTGCAACGTGCAGAGCCCTCAAAGAGGGATTTCAAACACAGTGCTTGTAATTCTTGCTGGTCTCAGGCCAAAGTCAGGGTATATGCCCCAAGCCCCTCTTTGAGAGTGGATGTGGTTGTGTCTGAAGAGTGGCTTAGTTATGCTTACCCCAAGTTGAATGTAATTCTGGAGACCAATACAAACTTGATATACACAAATCAAAACATTTTATATAACTACAAGTTTGAGATATCTGCAAACACCAGTGAGAAAATTTAGCAAAGATGGTATGATCAATTTACCATGGAGGAGGTAAGGCAGCTTTAGCAGTGCTACAACTTCAAGGTCATAAAGAAAAGAATGACTGGGGGACTTCCTCGTACCTTTTGGTGGTATCCTCTGGTATTGAAAGAGAGATAAGCTTCAAAAATAAATATGGTGCTTCAGCCAATGTAGAGTTTGGTGATACCACAATATTTATCATTGGTGTAAGTTGACCAAGCTACAATAGCAGTTGCCATGTAAAAGCTGTAGGTTTTTGCCTAAATCTTTGGATCTTTGATATTCTACAGCATGTTGGTGTTGGCTCAGGTGGTGTGTAGGTAGCTGGGTCTCAGTCTGCACCATGCATACCCAACTACCTGTTCTACACTGAGGCAACAAAGGGGTTGCCTCACTTGTACCATGGCTGTATCATGCTTCCTCTTGCAAAGCTTGCACTCTTACTGCTTGAAGGCTCAGAAACACCTTTGCAACACATCTTGGATTGTAATATTTGTGTCAAGTCTCTTCACCATGTCTTTTCTGGATGTACACCCACTTCTTGGAGATTGATACATACACAAGTTCACATAACACCTGTGGCTGGCTTAATACTATTGGTTTTTGGTGTTGTTATTGGGAGACAAGTATTTCACTTCCATCAGATTGTGCTTGCTCAACATAAGGAATATCAGATTCCCGATCCTAATGACAAGAACCAAATCAGTGGAAGCTGACTTTATGGTGATGACGGGCTATCTTGACGAACAAGGTTGAAGATGCATGTTTGATTGGATTACCAAGAAGAAACAAGAACAAAAAATAGCAACGATATCACAATCAGGACGACAGGAACAAAATCAGCTGGAGCGCTATTGTAGGCAGCAGAGGCCACAGGGGGATATGGGATAAGGGGCTGTTTAGTAAAGTCAACTATAGGTCATTTTGGGATACTATTCTAGATTAGGTAAGAGTTTGCGCAACAGCCATTGAGTAAATATATGAACAAGATGTATGGCTTGGTGGTATTAGATCTTCGCACATGAAATGAAGAAAAAATCAAACATGATGAATAGAGAAACACACATATCCTTTAACATAATCAAAACGGATAACATATTACAATGCAAAGAACGTGTACTCGGAATCAAAGAAACTTGGTAATTGTACAAAAGATCGGCGGAAATTTTCAAGGCCAGGGCTGGTCGTCAACTACATGGCCAATGGAAGAAGACAACGTGCGTTTATCACCTTATGATGAATAAGAAGGCTTTGTGACCTTTGGACTGCGTCAGTCTCGCAACGGAACCGAAAAAAGTAGGCTTTCTGGTTGCGTCAATGAACTGTTGACATTGAGGCCATACCAGCTATTAGCGAGACAGACAGAATCGTTATATTTACTGCGAGCAGGAAGCTGTATTCAATTGACGTTTAGGGTGAGTCAATCATTGGCTTCACATCACATACATCCATGTCTAGTTGGATTACGTACCGGGATGGATCCTTCGATTTTTAACCATTTCTCAATGCTTTCCTCACATGTGTGAAAGGCCATGTCATGGTGTCGACCTTCCTGGAGAGTTTTACTTTTGACCAAGGAAGTCGGGGTCGGCTGAGATTTCCAGATCATTCTAACGTGAATTTTCTGAGCGATTTGTTTTAATTTTTGAGCCACGTTATCTTCAGATTGATAAGCTTTCAAACGGATAATGTAGTAAGTCGTCTGTTTTTGTGGCATAACCTTCCATGAAAACTGTAGAAGACAGTATCAAGATTTGCTCAGCTCAGACACTCACACTACGTACAAGGATAGCATAGTGACGAACTAAGATTTTGATAGTTGTGGCCCGATCGTTCATCATAACGGAAAGATCGGCTCCCAGCGCTTTAGAACGAGTTATCCGACATGGAGTTATGGGCATCGATGTCGTGTACGTTTTGCGAGATTTGTCTGGTGAGCTCTGTGAGGTTAGTCCTGGGACTCCCGTGATGTTGAACATATATTGCATGGTGCCCTAAAAGCGTTGATATCTTGTCAGCACTTGGCCATGGAGTAGTGTACTATGTCAAAGGAAAACACTCGCCAGATTTGCCCGCTTGAAGGACGAGTCATTCGTCCCATCGATGTTGGGTTGAAGACAATAGCACTTTACCTGATCAGGCAAAAGGATGGTGGCCAATAGGCGGTATGTGCCTAGCTGCTCGCCCGCTGCAATATATTGGGACTTGGGTGGATTGCTGAGCGAAAATATCGAGTAGGTAGTTGAACAATTCCTTTCAGTTGAGAAGTTGGCGTGCCATTTGGGCTTGAAGTGACATATCTGACAAGTCCCGACCAAGCTGAAGAAAAGCGTAGATTGTGACCATGGTAGATGTTTGCCTTGTAATTCAATCCCTATCTCAATTTTTTCATTGGGCTGCACCCCCCCGTTGATGGAGGCCGGCGCAGTCAGAGCAATGACCTGCTTCGCAGAATTATAAGTCAATGAGTGGGAGCTAGATGTGTTGTAAGTAGAGTCTGAGGAGATCGAAGTGTTATTATCTAGGATGGAGGATGGTGGCTTAATTTTCTTCGGGATAATTTCTTTACGCTCAGTTACGACAGACAAGGGGCGAGAAGTACTAAATTTTATGTACTTTGGCAAAGGTAGCGAAGGTGTCGTTTTGGGCGAAAGCTGAGATAGACGAGATGCCAAAGATGTACTTTGTTTCTGGCCTTCAAAGAAAGCATCTCAAGCATGGTCAGGAAACCTCGGAGTGCATTTGATTTGAGAGCTTGGAGCCAAAGAAAGGGTTGTGCTCACAAACTAAAAATACTTTAAGGTCATGATGGTCTTGACAATACTGCTCGAATGCGTCCTGTAGTCCAAAGTTCTTCCCGGAAAGGTGATACATAAAGAGACGGAGAGCCTCAGTCGTATCTAGGGAGCAGAGTTGTATCAATGTAGACTGATTGAAGTGAACAGCGATCTCCGGCGTGTTGATCAGCCGAGTTCGATGCGTCGCTAACACTTCCTCGAACTTTTCCGGTTCCGTAATATGCTTCTCGAGCCACCAACTCGAGTCCTGCAGTGGTATAGAAGACGTGAAAGACGGGCTGAATGTACCATAGGGCTCAATCACATTATCGCCTTCAGTAAGTAAAGGCTTCAGCAAGACTTTCATCGTTGAGGTCCACTCTAAACCATCGTCTTTTTGATAGATAGAAGTATCCTTACACATTTTTAACCACCGGTATGTAGGCCTCGGGGATGTCGTGGAATGTGAAAGTATTTTCACTTAATGATGGCGAGGAACGGACAAACGTTCTAATTGCTCTCGATAGACCTTTATACATGTATGATTCGAACTTCGCAAACGGGCCGGGCAACACTCTCTAGAGTCTACATCTTATGAATTGGCGAACTCCCTCGCCCGTCAACCCTGACGATATCACATTTTCGTCTTCGACTCGCGTCAGCACCAGTGATTCCTGGTGAATCGTGATTCAATCAAACTTAACTAAGCCCTTCCCACATGGTTCCGTTTTACCAGGTTTTACCGGGGGAATGTGATTAAGTTTCGGCTTTAAGGGGATTTCCTAACTTAACTACAGTAGTTTTCAAAAAGCTTGCCGCTAATTCACCGCCAAATTGCTCGAGTTTTGCGGGCAAGTTTCGGCAAGCTTTTTGAAAACGACTGTAAGTCCCTCTCGGACAAATGAGTAGTCGAGAGAGGGACTTAGACCTTATACCACCTCTTTGGCGTATGAGCCAGAAAAGTTTGGCTGGGCACATTTATAATCCTCCATATCTTTGTAGCCTGTATACAAATATCTTCTGGACCAAAGAAAGATCCTCTGCGCCTGATCATCCTACACACACACGTCTTTTCAAATCCCTCCCTTGCCGCCAGGAAAGCCCTTAAAACCAGACTTGAAGAATTGGTATTTGTGTAACATTTCAGCGTGTTTGGTGTGAGCTTTTGACAGGTTGTCAGCTTTTGGCCTGATTTTTGTATTTTTTGCAAACTTCACACTTGCATTGCTCTGTGGGTTTTGAATCAAGTTCGAAGCAGGCTACTAATAGGTGTGTAGATTAACCAGGCGCAGATGACTTTTCTTTGGTCCAGAGGACATTTGTTTACAGGAGACGGAGATATGGAGGATTGGAACCGTTGTAGAACTTATAACCCAACAAGGGTTATACAGAGCTGGAAGAGGATAATCTACTAATAAAATGACTAGTAGAAGTTGTCTAAGGACTGCTCTTCTAAAACAACACAATCAGAAAGAGCTCTGTTGTATTGAGTACTGATAAGGCACCAGAGAAATATAACTTCACACGTAATTTTAACTTCAAAAGCACACTTTGTATTACTATCAACACTGCTATAGTGTTATTCCCAATTGATAACTGAAAAAAAATAAGCAATATCTGATTGATATTATTCCCAATAAGTCTTTATGACTATAAAACTAAAGTAAATTTCTCTTTATAACTGTAATAAAGGGCGTATTTAAGTGACCAGGTACTATTAAAATAAGTTTATAATGATAAACAAAATAATAATGGCGTAAATGATAAAGAACAAAGGGGAACAACAGTCCCAAAACCCTCTCAAAGTATATATAACAATGTACTAGAACTTTTACAATGGTCAACAGCCTCAAAACCAATCAAACCCGCCCAAAATTCCCTAAAAACCCTATGATGACGCAATGTAATGATTTTGTTACTAATAAATGATGTAATTTTCACAGCTAAACGTGATCAATGACGCAATAATATGATGTACAGCACTTCTTATGATGAATACAGGTGATTTTTTCCTTGTAAACTAGCTGAAAACCAATTTTTGAGATTACGAATTTTTTCAGATATGCTCCAATTTTTGATTACTAAAGTGCATCTTGTAGCCCATGTGTTACTGATCATTTCTGACACCTACATGACCTACTTCTGATGAGTGATGAGTAAGATATTGAGTTGTGAAGTTAAGGTTTTTAGTGTTACATGTGACTTGTGACTGTAAATTCGAGATTCACACCAATTCTTTATTTGTCTTATACCTTTTTACATACACCTCCGTTACTAATGATTTAAAGTTTGTACATTATGTAATCCACTCTTCTGCGTTGAATGAGCCATCTACCAACCTATTCTGACGTCATTTGACATATGTAATTAGCTGAAAACCTCCATTTTCCACGAATTTCACCCATTTTCTTCACTTTTCACAGCTACTACTCTCTTTTTCTTGCTTTTGTAATATGACATCATCATCTATAACCTTAAAAATCCCGAAAAATCCTCTTGGCAACCTTAAATTCCATCACTACCACTATTACACAACCAAACTACACGTGTACCTCTTGTTTACCAACTTCGAAAAAGTGCCTTTTCCCTAATAACTTCTGTTTCTACTTATCAACCTTGAAGATTAAAATTGTCATAGTATAATATAATGTTGTTCTTTCATATTCTAACCTCATAATACCCATAACTTTATTTTTACTAACCTAAAAACCATTTTCCAACCTTTGTACCTATAATTTCGAATTTTTCTTATGTTTTTCTTTCTTTCTTTTTGTAATAAATTTGTAAGTAAACTATAATGATCTTAATATATAATGTGAAATAAAATGATGTAATGTTGACCTAATGACCAATACATAAGCCTACAAGAGCTTCAATTGATCAAAAACCTCCATTTTGAATTTTCTTTCCTGCTGAATCCTGCTAATAAACTGGTAAACTGGTAATTGTGAATTTTTTAATTGATCCCATAAATTGATCACCACATCCTCCTCTTCTTCCAAACTGCCCCCAGTTTATCAATTAAACAATTCAATTAAACACTCCAAATCACTAAATTCTCGAATTTTCCTTTATTTCCAATATGGTCAACACTGTTTCACCTTCTGTAGCTTCACCTTGTGTCCAATGCCGGATGGTAAACTCCTCCTTCCACTATCAAATCAATCCTGCTTGCCAAAGATGCCATAGTCTAGGAATAATATGCTGTAAGTCCAATTTCTTTCTTCTATTTCTTTCTTCTTTTCTTTATAATAAGTTTCAATGTTTTTATTTAATTCTTTTACTAATTTTTAATGTCTTTTCTTTATTTAATTTTAATAGCCTACCCTGCAGCGCCTTCATCCAACAATTCACCTGTACCTAATTCTCCTGCCAACAATTACCCTCCACCAAACACGCCTAATACTCCTATCAGAATAAATTTCCTTAACCCTTATAATATTAATTTAAATAACACGCCTTCAGCACCTGATTCCCCTAATCCCTCTATTACTTCATCAATTGAAACCAACTTTACTACATCTGATCCATTTTTCAAAAGATTATATGAACATAACCTGGCGTGGAAAACTGATTATATAACTTATCAGAATTGGCATTCTTGGAGGATTCTGGATGATACAATCAGACAATTTAAAGAAGCAGGCTTTGAAGTTCCAAATATAATTAATAATCATTATCATTTGTTGTGTGCACATTCTATAGCTGAGTATGTTTCAAGAAGGGGTGAAGATGAGTGTTTGACTGTAGCAACTTTTATTCCATTCCTTAATCATGCTGAGCGTGCAAATGCTGCTATTTTATCCCCCTACAGTACTCCTTCTACCAATCCTCCTAATACTGAACCTCCTCTAATTAATTATGTTAATAATAGTCCTCCTGTAATTCCCGCTGTAAATTCTCCTTATACTGATTATAATTATTCTGAATATACTCCTACTATTTATGAACTTCCAAGCTGGCTTGATCCACGCCTTTTCCCTTCTTCTCCTTAATTTTTTTTTTATATCTTTTAACTTGTACATTTTTAATCTTCTTTTAAACTTTTAATATAATTATTATACTGATAACTAGTGAAACATATCCTTATTATTTTTTTTTTTTTAAATCTTATCTTATATTTTTATTCTGCTCTTTTAATTCTTTTAATCTTTTATATATATTTTTATCTTTTGAAATTAATAATATTATTAGTGGTAATTTATACTTATAATTGCGCCTCTTCCTCTTCAATGCCCACCTCCTCTTCTTCTGCTAATATTGCCACACCCCTAGGATAAAATCTTTTAACATGTTCAGCAGCATATTTTTGTGATAATTGAGTTCCATCTAACTCTTCTAGAATATAAGCACCTCCCATATGTTGTTCAACTACCTTATAAGGCCCATTCCATCTATTTTTAAATAATTTTCCCCATTGAAATTCTAAACTTTTGTTATAAGTTAATACCAAAGTTCCCTTCTCTAATGGATTTCTTAATCTATGCGCATTTTTCTTGTCCCAATATATAATTCCATCTACTCTTGCCTTCATCATCTTTTCATAAGCCTTCTTAATTAATTCTTCTCTTCCCAATAATTGTTCCATTCTTGCTTTTAATAAATCTTCTCCAGTGTAAATAATATCCCAATCAATACCTAAAAATGTCCCAGCTTCCAAATCCACAGGTAAAATTGCTAGTTGATTAAATAACATCTCATAAGGAGATAATCCAGTGGTTCTTTTCGTGGAAATCCTGTCTGCAAATAATACTTGAGGTAGAAATGTTTCCCAAGAAGTCCCAGTCTCATCACTTAATTTTACCAAAGCTCCTTTAATATCCTTATGACCTCTTTCAACCATTCCTTCTGACTGTGGCCAATATGCCGTGGATTCCCCTAATTTTGATCCTGACATAGCAATTGCATCTCTAAATACCCCTTTAAATTCAGAACCTCCATCCACAGTAAAACATTTAACAGAACCATATCTCATTAACCATTCTTTAGTAATAACTTTGGCCACTGCAGGTGCTGTTAACTTCTTTAAAGGTGCAGCTTCTACCCATCCAGTTAAATCATCTCTAGCTATTATAGCATAATTATAATTACCCGCCTTAATATGAATTGCATCCAAGCTCACTCTTCCAAATAAAGTACTTTCACCAGTTGCCCTTCCCATTTCTTTTTCTTTCTTTGAACTTTTCTTCTGACATATTTCACACGTCAATACCCAATCTCTAACAAATTCCTTCATTTCAGGCCACCAGAATCTTACCAAACATCTTTTATAAGTCTCCTCAATTCCTCTATGTCCTAATTCCTCATGTAATTTCTCTAAAATAAACCTTTGTCCTTCTAAATTTGAAACAACCAATCTTCCATAAGGTACTCCTCTTTTCTTCAATCTTTCATTTTCCACGTAATAAGAAGGAGCTCTATTCT